AACCTATAATCTTTAATATTAGGGATAAAGTTTTACTAAATAGTAAGAATATTTATAGTATTAGGCTAAAGAAGAAGCTTAACTATATAATAGTAGGTCTATATAAGATTACTCGTGTAATTAATAACTAGGTATATAAATTATAACTTCCTTCTATATTAAAGATATATAATATATTCTATATTATACTTCTTAAGCTATTTTATACCTTATCGTTACCGGATTATTCTAAATAGATACTATATAAAGTAGTTATATAAGAAGGTATAGATATCTATAAAGTTAAGTAGATACTTAGCTAGTAACACGCCGAAGATAGTACGTGGCTATATAAGATTTATTAGAAAGAATATAATTCTAATAAAAATACTTAGGAATCTATAATAAATATTAGTAAAGTAGTAATATTAGTATATAAGTAGCGATTAGTAAAGGAAGCCGCGGAATTATAGAGAATTATACTAAAGTATAGTAATTTAACATTTTTTAGTATAGTTTAGTACTAAGGACGGCCGCCTAAAAGGAAGAAGGTAAAAGAGATATAGATCTTTAAAACATTCTAAGGAATTAAGGAACTTCCTTAGAAAGTTTAAACTTAGAACTTTAAAAAATTTAACTAAAAAAGAGACTTAGAAAAATAATTTACTAAGAGAAATGGACATTAAAAATCGGTGCCGATCGGTATAGATTAGTATAGATTACTAAAGAGATTAAAGAAGTTATTATTAAAGAAAGATAAAATTAAGAAAGCTAAAAGAAAATATAAAGATCTATATAGATCTATATAAACTCGTACTAATCTATCTAGAAGAAGTAAGATTACTTTAAAATTAAAACTAAAAAACTAAAAACGCTAGATAAAAGAGATATATTAGTACTAATTAGTATAGATCTAAACCGATTAAGTCGGAGTAGAAGTAGAAGTACTAATTACTACGATAGTTATATCTAATTCCTTTCGCTAGTTCTTATTTAGTATAGTATAGAGCTTTATAATATAAGTCTCTAGCCTTTTATTCCGACGCTATAAATTCTATATAGCGCGCCTTATAGCTATAAACTCCTCTATAGAAACCTACGGAGTAGCGGGACCCGGGATAGAGAGGGATAGACTAGCGCGGGTACGCTAAGAATTATATAAATTAGTAAAAAGATTTAACGATTAGTATAGAACTATATACCTTTAGTATAGAAACTTCTAGATTAGAGCTATCTTCCCTAATTTTACGGCTCTTTAGCACGCGTGAGAAAGGAACCTTAGCCTTTTTACTAGAACCTTTTCTAGGAATTTTATATTACCGGTATATAGAAAGAAGTCCGAAGTAATAGAGATTTTAGTACTATTATAGAGATTAATATATATTAGTAAGAATCTATAATAATTTAAGAAAAATAATAATACCTAGTAATCGCGGTAATAATAGCTATAGTAGATTCTAATAAATCCTTACAGATCTTATTAGAATCGTACTCCTAGGCGTAACCCTTACCTTAGATATATAGCTTATAGAAAGCCTTCTCTAAGGCATTATAATTAGTAGTACTATACTCCTTATTAGTAGGGGTTACTAGAGGCCTAGTAGTAATCTATACTAATATAAGTAAATCTATATAAAGTTCTTCGAACTTACTTAAATATCTATAAATAATAATACTTCTTAGTTATATAAGTACTATATATTATAGATTTAGTACTACTATAAGTAATATATAATAGAAAGCGATAACTATAATAATATATAGCTAGATTATTAGAGCCCGGCCTAGGTCGGGGTAGATTAATAGCTTTTAATATATTAGTAACGTATATAAGATAGGGATTATTTAAAGATATCTATTTCTATACTAATTACTTTAGAGTATTAAGATTTTAGGAAACTATATTATAATTATTACTAATTTATATAGATTATTATAAATTATACTATTACTAGCTAAGGATAGTATAAAAATTAGTAAATTATATAAATCGTACTAAATTATAGTAAATCTATATAAATCTATATCTATAAGGATCGGGTGATATACCTAATAATCTAAAAAACTCTATAAAGAGTTAAGAAGTTTTTTAAAGAAAGGAATATTTCTAAGAAAAGATTTTAATATAGGTAGTACCCGGGCTTATCTAATTATATTACATAATATACTAGGCCTAATTAGGTAATCTCACCTATATAAGAAGTTAGAATAGATAAAATCTAGTTTATTAGGAAAACGCTTATATAAATCTTAGATTAGTAAATATTAGTAAATATCTAAGATGAAGCGTAGAGAACGACTAAGGTCTTACGAGACTTAGGATAGGGATATAGAGATAGATAATAATCTAGGTCGCTAAGGGTAGCTTCCTAGAGAGAAGGGATAATTATTAGAACTTAGCCTTAGGTAGAACCTAATCTATATATATCTTAGCTAATAGAGTTAGGAGGTGACGTAAAGGGCGGTAAATAGTTACGTGCTAGATAGATTAGTATCTCTTTATATATATACTCTCGGATTCCTACCGAAAGGGTTCGGTAGTAATTCGTTCTATAATAGAATATACCCTATTATTCTATCTAACTATACTACTATCTAATAACTCTATTCTTATACTAGGCTATTATTTTAAGTCTTAAGCTTAGCTATACGCGTCTCTAATTATCTAATATTAGCTATTAGCTATTCTATAGACTATACTTATAAGAATAGTAGATCTTAAGCCTTATTTAATAGCTTACTATTAGATTAGAGTACCTCTACTCTATAGTATATATCTTAAGAGCTATAAGATATATTAGCTAGATCCCGTTACTATATAGATAGAGATAGAGTCCTTAGGTACTTACCTAAATTAGATAATATAAAAGAACTATTTATCCCTTTTAAGCGATTAAACGGGTATAGCTCTATAGCTCTCTATCCTTCTATAATCTAAGATAGTTATAGCTATTATTTCTAAGTCTTATAGTAGTACTTAATAAATTAAAGCTTCTTTAGTAGAGCCTTATTATTAAGATATATTAATTTATTAAGAAGATTACGATATTTCCTCTTTAGGCTAGAAAAATAACCTAAGTTAAGTAGCTATAGTATATAGCTAGTATAAGTAGGTAAATAGACTATATAGATTCTATTTACCTAGTATATATACGCGAAGTTAATCTCTATATAGCTTCTATAGCTATTAACTAATAGAAGTCTTTACTTTTCTTCTAGAATCTTTATCTCTAGTATAAATATACTCTATAGCTACTTTAGAGTAATCTAATTTAACGTCTAACTATATAGAGATACTATATATATCTAATTAGAAGGATTATCTAGGAACTAGGTAGTCTAAATTATCTTCCCTTTAAATATAATTATAGAATAAAGCTTCTATTCTATTATAGATATATACTCTATAATTAAGGTCTATTTACGATTAGTAGGACCCTAAATATATATATTTTTATACTTAGAATTAACTTCTATCTCTTCTACACGGTACTAACTAGTTATAACCCCTTAGACTATATCTTATTTATCTATATTCTAATAGTAATTAGGCGGGATATTAAATTTAGAGTAGATCTAATTATATAATATATAGAACGCGTTAATTATATTATAGATAGCGGCCTATATCTATTCCTTATTAAGGGCCTTACTAAGGAGTATTTTAATACGTATATTCTATATTAGGAACTTTATAATCTATCTCTTACCTAATTTAACTATTTCTCCGGATATAGCCGCGATTTTAATTACTATATTATAGATAATTACGTAGCTTAGGGCTATCTATACCTAATCTAAGTAGATTATCTAATTATATAGGTCCTTCTCTTAATTAGGAGATAGTATTTAAAGATAATAATTAGCTACTTAGCGCGAGCCTTACTATCTATTAAGGCGTTTTTAAAGAGTAGAGTATAGGATACTATAGGCGGTAGTAATGGCCCGGATCAATATATAGAGATAACGATAGTAATAGTAAATAGCTATTAAGAGATTATCTTCTAAATAAGGTATTATAAGAAGGTAGAGGAGGCGTGGTTATTAAGTATTTTAAGATTAAAGATTGAGTACGCGTGTAGACGCGTACTCAAATCACGTGGTTCATTAGTGGGTTGGCTCATTAGTGGGTACGTCAACTTATGTCGCGTCACGAACCAGCTATCTGAATGCTTCCATCAACACCCAACCCATAATATCCTAACCCTTCGCGCCTTGTTACTAACCGCTATCGCTTCTTTACCCAATCAGTGAACTCTGTATTACCTGTTCTCTTCAGCGCGACTCGGGCCGCCTAGCATCCTACGCACTGATGAAATCCGATGCGATGAACGAGATCTGCCATCACGATGAACGAGATCTGCCATCACGATGAACGAGATCTGCCATCACGATGGACAACATAGGCCTTGCCGATTGAGGCTCAAATTAGCTGCTCACACGGTGCCCTCAGAGAAGCGACGGACCGAGAGTCATGTCCGGTGATTAGTGGATCTCACTTGAACAACCTTGCGGGAGGATGGAGCCGCTGCTTTTCCCACGCCATACAGGAGTGATTTGCACCTTTCAGATGGTTAGCCAAAGATCTTGGCTCTTGTCGTTCGTAGGATTCATCAGCCTTAGATGTACTAATCCTAAGTTGATATCTCTAGAGGTATGTTGTACTACACGCCTTTTATTTTTCAGTGATGATATGCATCCCAGCGGCTACTCTACGACCCTTCCGTTGATCGGTTCACTTCAGCCCTGAGTTCATTGACGAGTAGCATGGATCTATAGCTAAACGGCTCAATGCCTGATTCACGAGGGCGACGTAGTATCTTCAAACATAGACCCCTTGGCGCCGCCCTTTAAGCCTGTTGCATACTCTTCACTCTAATCTGCCCGCTGCTCGAAATGTGCATACACCAAAACCAACCTCAGGGATATTAGATCCAACTGGATATATCTACTCAGCATGTCTCATTGAGTGTTCACACGGCGATCCTCGCTCTATATCTGAATCCTGAGAAGTTAGTGCTATGGAGTACTACGACTTCAAAGATACCGAAACGCACTGGTCCCTGTCTTCAGCTTCAACCTCATCACCTGTTTTGGCAGATCAAGTCTCGACAGTCGACTTTTCCGACTATCTTAAAGTACCTGGAGAAGACCTATACATCCGTCCAGCCTCCCGCATCTCGACTCCTCGCGCGGCAGATACTCTCTCATCACCAGAATCCAACTCGGACAATCCAGCACCTCTCCAACCCAAGAGACAAAGCCAACACCCTCCCCACCAAACCCGCTCATCCTCCTCCCCATCACCATCCTGGTTCAACCATCTCCGCCCAAAAGCATACCTCCCCCTCCCAACACCCTCAAACATGACAGGCGCAACGCCCGTAAGTCGATTCCCCACGAGTAGACAAGCCATATATCCACCAAATCCTGACATTCCCACATTCCCAAAAACCCAGTCCGAAGTCGACCAACTCGTCCACTCCCTCCGCACCCACCGCGTAAACACCCTCGTCGAGCTCCGCCGCATCGAAAAGGTCTTCGCAAGCCTCTCCGGCCACGCCGCCGCCGACGTCGGCCAGTCCATGACAGCCGCCTGGTCGCACTACGTCAACTCGCACGCCCTCCTCTCCGAGCTGCGCGCCATTACCAAAAACTACCCCTTTAGGTAAATTATGCTTCCTCCCCCTCTCCGCTCTATCCCTTTCTCCATCCATCCATCCATCCATCCATCCAACGACTCTAACCACCACCAACCCACAAAAACAGCTCCGCCGCCATCGAAGACGCAAAACGCCGCGTCTACGCCGACCCCCAGAGCAATCGCAGCTGGAACTTCTGCTGGCTTGTCCTGCACAAGATTCAGGCTGACCAGCTTGTCCCGCTGTATGCCCATGCCCAGGCTGCTGATCCGGCCATGTGGGGCGGCGGAAGCAATGTGGTGCCGGAGCCGGAGCATGTGCAGAGGCTGGCGGCGGCGTTTATGGCGGAGTGGAATTGGGCGGTTAGTTCGTTGTTGAGGTGTTGGGATAGGGCACCTGTGAGGTGAGGGAATGGAGAAGGGGGGGTTGTGAGGCAGGGTTGATAGATCACGACTGCGCTGGGCGTGGGATCGTGGGGTTCAGCGAAGTGCTGTTTTCTTATATCTCGTATAGATAGCTTTATCTTCAGTATTTCATGATCTGTGCTTCATCACCTTCCTTTCGTCACTCTTTCATACTCTTACCCCCTACATTATATATAAACCACGACAACCCAACCCCCTCCACAACTCATACGGCAAGACCAAATCCCCTACGACTCCAAGCCCAATGTACAAAAAGGTATTAAGTAAGATAGAGTAAGATGAAATAACAAAACAGTATGTTCATGAATGGGCGTTGATCACATGCTGCGCAAAGACCTTAGGAATCGTATCATTGGGCGTGTCGTAGTGGAAGGCTGAGGGTTGAATGTGAATGGGAAAGGCTGGTTTGTGCTGCTGTGTGCTGCTGTTTTGGTGTTTAGAGGTGTGTTTTGGTGTGTTTTGGTGTGTTTTGGTGTGTTTTGGTGTGTTTTGGTGTGTTTTGGTGTGTTTTGGTGTGTTTTGGTGTGTTTTGGTGT